ATCTAGGGCCCCTTTCACATGTATAGCCATAGATCAAACATTTGATTTATTTTATTTATTTATTTCCAATTTATACCCCGCCTTGCCGGTAAAAACTGGCTCAAGGCGGCTTACATGAAAACAAACAAAAATGTAAATGTAAATAGGTTTAAATTGTACAAAAGATGTGTCAAAATACCCATTCTTCATAAGCCATATTTCCTGAAGATTTGCTGGGTTAGTTTGCAACCCAGCAGTCACCTATACAAGACTTGCCTGATGACAGATTACATCTGCCTTAACTTGACCCAAAAACGATTTTCCACCTTCAAACCTATAACTTTCATCCTTCCTCCATCATATCCCAAGTAAAACAAGGGCATTTTCATTCTGACAGTTGTAAATTAACCAGCCACTTTACATGGAAATCGCCACGCCACATAACTGTTAATGATAAGCTTCCACTCATGAAATTCAGTTAAAGTGCTAGGTGGGGCAACAGTTTAAAATTACACTACTCATTTTCCAATGGCACTCTGATTCAACATTATCAAACATACATACTGATGAACAGACGCCCTCAGGACATGAACTTTCTGAACAATGGACTCAAGAATATTCTTTTTAATGTCCTCTTCAAGAATGCAAAAGGCTGGAAAACATAGATTTAAAAAAAATCTATTAAAACTGACCAAAATAAATCATATGCACTAACCAGTAAAAGTCACACCAGTATGAACTGGTTTAACTAGAGGAGATGGTTCCACATATAAGAAATCTACACAGGTAGTTTCAACACAGCCCCTTGACTCATATTCTTAGTTTTTCTCAAATGATTAAGGAAATCAAACCTATCATTTGTAGCCATGCAACATGAACCTATATATACTGCCTGGGAAACAGCCCAAGTGGTCCCAAATAAGGAGAAATATAAAACTGGATGTATCTTAATGACATCTTCTCTGAAGAAAGTTGGAACTGGGCAGTTAATGCGACACTTCTGAATTCCTTTTATTTTTCAGTATTAGTAATCTAAGGGAAGGCATTTACATTGTTTCAAAATGTATCGGCACACCCTGGTAAATAAGTCAGTCTTAATAGCAACAACACCGCATTAGTTACCTGCTTACACATACCTATTTTGGATAATTGTAGACTAATGACAAGGCAGGGAAAAGGGGCGGGAAATGAAAAAAGAAAGCAGCCTATTTCTTCCCAGTTTATAAGATATTCCTTGCCTGGAAGCACTCATTACTCACCACAGGTGACTAGGCAAGTGGATTACATACAAGGCTGCCCAGTACTATTATGCCTCTACACGTGGCTTGTTACGCATAGAAAGCTGCCTCTTCTTTGAATTCACAAGGCCACTCACAGAGCATCCCGGAAGTCTATATCAAAACACTATCAAAAAATGCAGAATCCCTAAGATATTAATGATTTCCTCCAACTTACTGTATTAGATTTTTATCTCATTCTTCCATCTTAGAGTGCGAGATAGCAGACACAGCTGTTCATTCCCATTCCCCAATTTTAGTCATCACAGCGAATGGCCAAAGGTCAACTTGTGAGGTTTTATGGTACTTTGGGGTACTGAACCCAGGTCTTCCCAGCCCAATATGCCAACATTGTGCTTCTTTACTGGCCAAAAGAACAGCACACCTCTGTATTCCTACCTTCTCTGTTTACTGATCACCTAAAGCAGGGGTGGCCAAACTGGGGCTCATGCAGTTCTTTCACACATATTGTGTGGCTCCCGGCATGGTGGCTGGGGAAGCGAAGGGGAGGCATGCCTCCCTGATTGGCCTTTCCTTCCTTAGCCAGTGTTCCCTTCTTTGGGTAGGCTTGAGCTGGGGGGAGCAGAGAAAGAAAGCAACTTTGAATGTGTTCACCCCCCCCAACAGCCGGCTTAGAGAAGGCATTTGTCCCTTTAAACCCCTTCTCCAAGCCAATCCAGCTGGCGCGGGGGTGTAGGGATCTTGGAAGATGCATTTAAAGTTAAAGTTGCTTTCTTTCTACCTCTCCCTCCATCCCATCTATTTGCTTTATTCACACTTTCTTTCCACCTTTCTCTCTCCCCATCTAATCATTATCAATATCTATTTTTACCCCTTTTTATTTTTGGCAGTCTCATTTAATGTTAAGAAAAAGCAAATTTGCATATTTACCTATAAAAATGCATGGGTTATATCTGTTCATGTCTTGTGGCTCTCAAACATCCGACGTTTATTCTATGCGGCTCTTATGTTAAGCAAGTTTGGCCACCCCTGGCCTAAAGGGACTGGGGCAACTTTACTTTCTACAGTATTTTTGTTTTCCTGAGGTTACTGCTTCACTATGCACTTCTGTTTCCTTTGGGTCTACCATCATCTTGCCCTAAACCGGATGGCCCAGGCTAGCTTGATCCCATCAGATCTTGTAAGCTAAGTAAGGTCAGCCCTGATTAGTACATGATGGAAGACCACCAAAGAAGTCCAGGATTGCTTCGCAGAGGCAGGCAATGACAAACCACCTGTTTATCTCTTCGAGTCCCCAGCAGTCACTTGCAAATTGACTACTTTCCACCATCACCATCCTCAACTTGGCCTCAAGAGCACATGAAACCATGTAGTCTGCCTTTGTTTTCTAGCATATTTTTATCCTCTTTTCCTCCAAGAAAACTCAGGGCAACTCATGGCTCTTATTTTACCCACACAACAAGCAATGAGGAAAGTTGGGGTGAGGGAGTAGGACTGGCCCTAAGACTCCCAGGAAGGTTCACGGTCAAGTGGGGATTTGAACACAGGTCATTCTGGTGCCGTACAACACTCTAACCAGTAAATCATACTGCTTCTGCATTTGAACAAGGTTTGAGTCCAGTGGTACCGTTAAGACCAGCAAAGTTTTATTCAAGGTATAAGCTTTCGTGTGCAAGCAACACTTCTTGCCTGCACACTTTGTTCTGCTGCTTCAGACTAACATGGCTATCCACCTGAATCTACTTTTGCATCTGTTACCTTCAGAAAGGCTTAAAAGATCCCCACCACATCTAGGGTTTTTAATAATATGGAATACTTCCTGTATTGATGTCAATCCTGTACATACTGAATATGTGCCAGGATAAGTCAGTAGGACTTCCAGGTTGGTATGCATTCTTTATAGTCTATGAGAGAATATCTTAAGAGGTTTATTAGATGTAAGATATGTTAACTAGTCAGCAAGGCATGCTACGCTCTATGCTACCCCTCAAAATGTCCTCTATTCCTTTCCCCTGCTATATAGTAAATTTTAAATTGCCACAAACGGGGGGGGGGGGGTGTCCAAAACCAAGAGTCACGATCTTACATACAACACTGCCTTCCTTTCTTTCTTCAGTCATGCTGAGCAAAGAAAAGCCAACATCTAATCCTTAGCACAGTGATGGCGAACCTTTTAGAGACCAAGTGCCCAAACTGCGACCCAAAACCCACTTATTTATCACAAAGTGCCAACACGGCAATTTACCCTGAATACTGAGGTTTTACTTTAGAAAAAACAACTCATACATTAACTTAAGATGATCCAAACAAAGTAAGGAAAACAATCCCAAATACTTTCATTTACTTAAAATTATTTGGCAGAGAATTCGACACTTTAATGATGGTCTGGGCCTGGCTGGGGCGATGGCACGTGTGCCCACAGAGAGGGCTCTGAGTGCCACCTCTGGCACCCATGCCATAGGTTCACCACCACTGCCTTAGCATTTCAGCAAATTTATCAGAGCTGCCTGCAAAACTGCATGGAAATCAGAACAAAGTTGGAGTCCAGTAACACCTTTAAGACCAACAATCTTTAATTCTGGGTATAAGCTTTCATGTGCATTCACACTTCATCATGCATGGAAATCAGTCAGACATGTCTAGTCATGCCCTTTCACACCTCTATTTCCATTTTGCACTTTCCAGGCTATAAAGTCGGTTACTTTGCAGCATTTCACAGCAGATTCAGCATACACAACCCCACAAAACTCCTTTAAGGTACTGAGAAACCCACTAGTCTTTAAGTTATGGGAGGCCAGCTCAAGAGAGAAGCGAGCTCTTTTCCCCAAGTCACAAAAAAAATGCAGGAGAGAGAAGCAAACAAGTAGGATGAGGTGCCACACTCGACACCCCCCAAAGAGTGTCCAGCTTCTCAACAATGGGAAAGAGCCGGGCTGGAAAAGTACACAGAGTGCCGAAGAAGTCCCCCTCGGCCTCGTGGCCGGGCTCATGTTCCTGCCCTGCAGCAGCCAGGCATGCCCACACTCTCGATGCAAAACTGAAAACAGGCTCCCAGTCATTGTTCCTGGGGCAGACCAGCTTCTACATTCATCTTTATTTACTTGAGTGGGCTCAGGGCGGCTTACAATAAACACAATAAAACCATAAAACAATCCATGGTACAATAGACAGTAACACCATTGCCTCGTGTACCCCAGGAAACTTCCCTGACCACCTGAGGACCCCCCCAAAAAAAGAAGTACCACAAGAAACCTGCAGGAGAAAGAAGCAGACAAGTAAAATGAGGTGCTACACAATCTCTCTCTCTCTCACACACACACACACACACAACACCCCCAAAGAGTCTCCAGCTTCTCAAAAATGTAAAAGAGCCCACATGGCACAACAGGCAGTAAGAAAAACCCAAGCCTCATATCAGGCAGAAATAGGTACCCCAGGAAACTTCCCTGGCCACTTGACAACACCCCTCCCCCCAACCCTCCCCCCCCCCAGAATTACAAGTCAACCTCCTATGGAAGCCCAATCAAAGCAGCAGCCCCTTACACATCGTGAGCAGTGTTCCCTCTAAGCTGAGTGAGTGTGAGCTACCTCACAGATTTTTTCAGCCTCCGGCTCACACGTTTTTGTCTTCGCTCAGGAAGGGATGGGGCTCCAGAGCAGACTCATTCATGCAGTCGCCAAATCCCTCGCTCACAACTCTAATGCCAGGAAGCCCACAAAGCAGAATTTCGCTGCACAAATGGGGGGAGGGGAGTGTGTATGCGGGGGAGGGGGGGCACTCACCTTTGCAGACCGGGGAGCTGGGGCTCTTCCTCTCGGGGGAGGCCCGGGTGCTCTGCTCCGGGGAGCGCCGCCGCTGGCGATGCCGGATCCTTCCCCCCGCCGAGGAGGAGGAGGCCGAGGCGCAGGCGCTGCTCTCGGGCAGGGGCGGCGAGACGGGCGAGGAGCAGGGCGAGGGGGTCGAGGCCGCCGCCAAGGAGGGGGGAGGCGGCGGAGGCGGCGGCGGCAGCTGGTGGTGGTGGGCAGCGCGAGGCGGGCTCCCCCGCGACCCTCCCGCGCCCGTGGGGCTGCCGCGCGCCGTGGACGACGCCGAGGAGGAGGCGCTGCTGCCGCCGCCGGCCACCCCCGCCGGCGTCTGCGTGGCTACTGCGGGGCTGCTGCCGTTCCCCAGCACCGCTGGGCGCGTCGGGCTGGCGGTGCGCGAGGAAGGCGGCGGCGCGGGAGGCGGCGGAGGCTGAGGGGCCGCGACCGCCGCGCGCGGAATGCCTCCCCCGCCGCCGTTCCTGGTGGGGCTGCCGTGCTGCTTCAGCTGGAAAGGCACCGTGGCCCGCATAGGCTGGAGGCGGCTGCCGCTGCTGCTGCTGTTCCCCGCTCCGGCCGCCCCGCCAGGCGTCGGCACAGCCGCCGCCGCCGCGGCTCCCCCTCCCCCCAGGGGGGCAGCGGCGGGCGTTGGGGAGCCGTTGCGCCTCACGCGCGGCGGGTGGGAAGACATAACCGTTCTCGCGACGGGTGCCCCCGAGGGGCAAAATTCCAAACGGTGGGAGAAAAACCGACAACCCCCGCCTCCCCCCACGCTCCCTTTCTCGTCTCCCTCAGCGGTTCGCCCTCATGGAGACACTCGTGAGGCGCCCCTCTCTCGCCGATGCGACCGCTCCGGCCGCCTCATCAACAATAGTGCCCGCACCGGCCTCTCCCATTGGAGGCGCAGCCGCTCCGTTCCGGCCGCTACAGAGCTGGGATTGGCTGGGGGGCGTGGCCGAGACGGCGAGGGGGAGGGGAGGCTTAAAGGGACAGCGCGCTGCTCCTCGGAGATGGGCGAAGACGAAGAAGGCGGGGTAAGGGGGGGAGTGAATGGGTGGTGCGCCCTTCCACACGTGATCTCCACACCCGTGTCTTTCGTGCTGTTGCGGCAGTCGCTGAGGGAACGAGGGCGTGGAACCTGTCTTGCTGCAGGGTGGCTCTTGTACCTTTCAACGCTCGCCTTTGTCCTCTTTAAAAGGCCTGGATTCCAATTCTGCCATTTTCGAAAAAGGCCTGGATTCCAATACTGCCATTTAAAAAAATATATATCCGTGTTGTATTTCCTGGGTTCCCAACTTCCAGGTGGAGCGTGGAGATTTCTTGGTATTACCAATGTTCTAGAGGGAACATTGGTAATACCAAGAAATCTCCACGCTGTGGAGTCTTGTGAGCAAAAATTCTACTTTGTGAGCTACTGGCATTAAAGTTGTGAGCGAGCGATTTGGCTGCCGCAGAAATGAGTTTGCTCTGGAGCCATCTTTCCTGAGCTAAGACAAAAATGGGTGAGCCGGAGGCTAAAAAGCTGTGAGCTAGCTCACACTCACTCAGCTTAGAGGGAACACTGATTACAACTGATCTCCAGACTTACAGAAGTCAGTTCCTGTGAGGGGAAATGGCTGCTTTGGAGGGTGGACCTAGGGTTGCCAGTCTCTTCCCGTGAGCTGTCTTTTGGATACAAATCTCCAGATGGTGGCAGATTTCCCAGAATTACAGCTGATCTCCAGGTGGCAGAGATTAGCAACCCTAGAGAAAATGGCTGTATTGGAAGTTGATCTCTATGGCGTTACACCCTGCTGAAGTCTTTCTCCTCAAACCCCACCCTCCCCAGGGTCAACCCCGAAAATCTCCAGGAGTTTGCCAGCCCAGAACTGGCAACCCTAACTGGACTCTATGGCATTATACTCCACAGAGGTCCCTCCCCTGCTGTCCCCAAACTTCACCTCCAGTCTCCAGCAATTTTCTAACCCAGAACTGGCAACCTGATGTATTTCCATGGCCTTTTGGACTCACTGTTCTGAGAGGCAGACACACAAACACACAACCGCCTCTAATCCACGACAGTTTAGGCCATAATAAAGCTATTTCATTGCCAGGATTACCCTTTGCTAATAGTAATTCTGTGATGGGAACCCCCTGCCTCTGTCCCTTACTGGGCTATGAAAACTTTAAGCAATACATGTTGGGCCCATGTGGAGGCAAATGTGTACACATCAAGTCACAGGCAAAGAGTTTACAATCCTGTAAACAAGGCCCAGAGATTTATAATTATTGTTGTACAGTGCCTAGTATCTTTAGATGCTTCAAAAATTACACAGGATCTGGAGAGCGTTTCGTATGTTTAGGGGATTTATATTCTGCCTTTCTACCAAAATGGGCCTAGACATCCTACACTCTAAACGTTTAGGATGCTGACTGAGCCCTGTACCAGCATGTCTCACAGAAGCACCGTCATTCCCAGAAACACACTGGCATATCTGGAGCTGCACCCACGTACTGTACATTTGGGTAGCACTGGGGCAGACCATGATGGCAGCGGGACGGAGTTGGCTGCCTAAGCCCCTCAAACCCTGGTGCTGACACATCACACCACCCAAACTTCTCAGAGCAGCAGAAAGGAAGGGGTGCACAGGTCCTGTCCTGTCTATCTCTTTAACTCCCTGAGGCTAAGAGACAGCGTAAATCAGGGGTGTCAAACATAAGGCCCAGGGGCCGGAAGCGGCCCGTCCAGGGCTCTTATGCGGCCCACAAGCAACTGGTGCAAGGGAGGGAACAAGGGACTGCCACCACAGCTTAGAGGGAACATTGGGGCTGACACATCACACCACCCAAACCTCTGGGTACCTCATCAAAGCAGCAGAAAGGAAGGGGTGCACAGGTCCTGTCCTGTCTATCACTTTAACTCCCTCTGAAGTCCGAGGCTAAGAGACAGCGTAAAGCAGGGGTGTCAAACATATGGCCCAGGGGCCGGAAGCGGCCCGCCCAGGGCTCTTATGCGGCCCACAAGCAACTGGTGCAAGGGAGGGAACAGGGGACTGCCGGGGGGGGAGTGGGCGGAGCCACTCCAATTTATCTTCAGCATGGCAGAACAACCTTGTCTGCAGCAGTCAAGCAGCAAGGAGTGTCTATGCCCAGTGTTGCACCTCTGGCTCTCCAGTCCACCCATGTGGGTTTTTCTTTGCACACCACTCCCAGCCCACGGGGCCTTGCAGTGAGGATACACCAACTCCGAGCTTACCAGCTGCTGTCCTTTATAAAGTTTCTATCTCCGGTACTTGCCATTAATTTTTATGGCACACATAGCCCAGCTGGACAAAGTGACATTTATGTCAGATCTGGCCCTCATAACAAATGAGTTTGACACCTCTGGCATAAAGCTTTTCACTTCCAACAAAAAAACATCCCATACGCATGGAGAAACTGGGTAGCCTGCACCTCCCTGGACCAGCGGTGTCGAACTCATTTGTTATGAGGGCCAGATCTGACATAAATGAGACCTTGTTGGGCCAGGCCGTGTGTGTCATAAAATGTAATGCCAGGTAACGGAGATATAAACTTTATAAAGGACACAAATACAGAGGAATTTTTTTACTTAAAATAAAAACATGCTTGAAACATTAACACTTTTGCAATATTTTGTTTATTTAACTGTCTGATAACTGACACCTCTTGCTCTGAATTATTGCATAAAAATGTCTGTGCTGTTGCAATCTTGAGTATGCTGTTCAGGTGTGTATCTGTAAGCTGCAAACCTACAATGAGGCAGCAGCAGCAGAACTGCAAGCAGAAGCAGAAGACAGCCAGTTCCACTGCGGGCCTGATAGAAGCCCCCCAGGGTGGGGCCTCATCTGGCCCCCGGGCCACATGTTTGACACCCTTGCCCTAGACTGTTCCCAAGCCCTGAAGCAGCTAGAATTGCCAGGTCTCCCCTAGCCACCGGGGGGAGATGGAGGGGTAAGGTTGCTAGATCATGGTTGGGAAACTCCTGGAGATCTGGGGATGGAGACTGAGGTGTACAGCGGCCTCAGTGGGATACAATGCCACAGAGTCCACCCTTCAAAGCATTCATTTTCTCCAATGGGACTGATCTCTCTAGCCTGGAGATGAGCTGCAATTCCAGGGGGTCCCCAGGTCCCACCTGGAGGCTGGCCTCCCTAAGCAAGCAGCGTAGCTCAGGATCCTAAGTCTGCAGCCAAGCACTATATAGAAATCCCATAGCTCAGACAGGCGGGGGCATGGCATGGGGCCTTACCCTCGTGTGGAGCACGCTTGTAGCACGGCAGGGGGAGTCTGTGACGGGACCACCACAAAAAGGGCACTGAGCTCACGGACAGCCATAAACTATACTATATTAAACAGTTTAAAAGGTCTCCAAGCCACCCTTTGCTATAATCAGATTACATACAGAGGGACGTCTGGAAAATATATACGTGTGGAGATTTTGCTGGAACATCATTAAAGATGGGAACGGTCATACCTCAAATAGTTCACATAATAACCTTATGGTAAGGGCAGACCTCTTAAAAGCTACATCCACAGAAAATCTCCCTCTGTGTCATTTAGGCTGCAGTCCTGAAAACACTTTCCTGGGATTGAGATTAAACCCCGTTGAATACAGTGGATTTTATGTCTGAGCCGACCTACTTTGTCTTGCACACTTGGGCTCTCAGGCTATTTAAGCAGCTGTTAAGTGGTTAAGACGCTGAACTGCAGGCTGCGGAAGGTCGGTAGTTCAGCAGTTCAAGACCCGAGTGCCGCATGACGGAGTGAGCTCCCGTCTCTGGCCCAGCTCCTGCCAACCTAGCAGTTCGAAAGCAAGAAATTGCAAGTAGATAAATAGGTACCACTCTGGTGGGAAGGTAACAGCGTTCCCTGCACCTTGGTGTTTAGTCATGCCGGCCACATGACCACGGAAACGTCTTCGGACAGCGCTGGCTCTTTGGCTTTGAAACGCAGATGAGCACCGCAACCCTAGAGTCGGATTTGACTGGCTTTTGAGCAAGGGAACCTTTATCTTTACCTTTTACCCGCCCTGTTCATTTCTCCTAGGCTTAACGGGCTTTAGATAAGCCACACCAAAAATCAAGGTTTTAATGCCTTTTCGGTTTCGCAGCAGCCTTGCCCTCAAGGTTCATCAGACTGAGGAGATCAAATCTTCCTTCGCAAATGTCCTGGCTCCCTGTGGTATTCTCTACTCATCCCCGTCAGTCTTTGTTGTTGTTCAGTCGCACAGTCGAGTCCAACTCTTTGCGACCCCATGGACCACATCATGCCAGTCTCTACCTACACCTGATTGTCTAGCCTAGGAAGCACAGCACCTGATGTCCCTGAGCCAGATCTCGCCCGCAGATACCATCTGGTTCACCCCAATTGCCAATTCCAGAAGCAAAGGAAGCGTGGGGGTTAAACAGCCTCTGTGCAATGGGAGGAGGAGGAGTTGGATTTATACCCTGCCCTTCACCCGGAAATCTCAGAGCGGCTTACAATCTCCTCCCCTCCCCCTCCCCTGTGAGGTAGGTGGGGCTGAGAGAGCTTTGAGAGAACTGTGGAGCTAAGCTGTGGAGTCATGTGAGCAAAAAATCTACTTTGTGAGCTACCGGCATTAAAGTTGTGAGTGAGCGATTTGGCTACTGCATAAATCAGTTTGCTTTGGAGCCATCCTTCCTGAGCGAAGACATAAATGTGCGAGCCGGAGGCTAAAAAACTGTGAGCTAGCTCACACTAACT